AACTCTTTGAAACCTAGGAGACTATGGCCCTACCCTTTGAGATCCAGAAGGCTGTGGCCCCACCCTTTGAGATCCAAGAGACCATGGCCCCACTCTTTGAAACCGAGAAGGCCCTGCTTCTCCTGCTCTTTCCAACAGTTTTGCTGATCTTCCAGTTGCTCCAGGGATGGTCCTTTTCTTTTCTTGTAGGACAACAGATGTAGCTCCTTTGGCCTGTTTCCTGCCTGTAGAATTCCAAGAGGCAGACAGTATTCTTTTCTTTCATTCTTTCTCTGTCCCCTTCAGTCTAAGTTGATGGATTTTTTGCTGTGGTAGTTGGTTACATCCTTCAGTCACAGGCTTAACCTCTTTAACAAAAGATTGTGTAGTCACGTCCTTGGTGAACATTCTAAGACACCTGTCCTTAGTTTGTACTACAGAATTTTCCAGATCTAAGTTCTGTTTTCCTTTTGTACAGTTAATTTTTAAGTCCATCTATTTCCTCTCATATTTTACTATAAACAGCAAGGAAAAACCATGTGGCCCCTTTAAAATCTTGCTTAGAAATCTTTTGAGCCAAATATCCAAGTTCATCATTTATAAGTTCTACCTTCCACCAAACATTTGAACATAATTCAGACGAGTTCTTTGCCACTGCATAAAAAGCATCAATGTTCCTCCATTATTCAATCACATATTCATCATTTTCTTTTAAAGTCTCACCAGAAGCACATTTAACATCCTCATTTCTAGCAATATTCTGTTGGTATGCTTCTTCTGAGCCCTTACCGGAATTTCCTTTGACATCCATAATTCTACCAACAGTCTCTTCAAGGCAATCTAGGCTTTTACTATAAAAACAAAAACAAAAACCAAACTTGTTGCTGTCGAGTCAATTCCGACTCATAGCGACCCTATAGGACAGAGCAGAACTGCCCCATAGGGTTTCCAAGGAGTGCCTGATGGATTTGAACCGACAATCTTTTGGTTAGCATCCATAGCTCTTAACCACTACACCATCAAGGTTTCCAGGCTTCAGCACCTTAAAACTCTTCCAGCCTCCATCCATTACTCAACTCTAAAACCACTTTCACATTTTAGGTATCTGCTACAGCAGCACCCCCACTTCTTGGTACTAAATCCTGTCTTGGTTATCTAGTACAGCTATAACAGAAATACCACAAGCGGATGGTTTTAAGAAACACAAACTTATTTTCTCACACTTTAGGAGGCTAGAAGTCCAAATTCAGGTTGCTGGCTCTAGGGGGAAGCTTTATCTCTCCGCTAGCTCTGCAGGAAGATCCTTATCTCTTCTGAGCTTCTGCTCTTGGGCAGTCTTCACATGACTTGGCATCTCTCTTCCTTTCTGCTTCTCTCACTTGCTTATTTAATTTCTTTTGATCTCAAAAGAAATTTACTCAAGATACACCCTACACTAATCCTGCCTCACTAACATGACAAAGACAACCCATTCCCCTGTGGGATTATAACCACAGGAATACCACAAAAACCAAACCTGTTGCAGTTGAGTCGATTCTGACTCACAGCGAACCTATAAGATAGAGTAGAACTGTCCTATAAGGTTTTCAAGGAGCGGCTGGTGAATTCGAACTGCTGACGTTTTGGTTAGCAGCCGTCACTCTCAACCACTGAGCCACCAGGGCTCCAATCACAGGCATAGAGGTTAGGATTTACAACACATATTTTTTGGAGACATAGAATAATGCAATCCAAAACAGACACATAAAACCCATCTCAAACGTATTAGTCTTATAAAATCAAGTTTTATCAGGAAAGCCAGCAGAGTAGTGGCAACCATTAAAAACCTTTATCTCCATTATTTAGGAAAATACTATAAGGCTGCAGGATAACTCTTCCCACCTTCCACTGCCCTCCCCACATTAAACTTTTAAATACAAATGGGCAAACATTACCAGCATATTTTGCAAAGTGCTAAAAATCCTAATTTGAGATTACAATCATTAGTCTTGTTAAACTTCTAAAGATTTAACCCTGAGAAATGGAATTATATGGGAAAAACATATTGTCTCCTCCTCAAAATCTGAGTGTGTGGCAGAGAGGGTCAGCTGGCCACCATTTGAACTCCCCTTCTGTAGTGTGCAGTTGTTGCTAGGAAGTGGCCACCCAGTCAAGGGACCTAATTCTGAGCCCTCCGGCATCTAGGTGGGGCCTTGTAACTACTTCTCCCCTTGGAATGTAAGCATACATGCTGTGTGCACCTTCCCTACCCTTCATCTCACATCTGCCAGTTGGAGACAAAGGACTGGGGATTCCAAGGGATGGTGGAACCACAAGATGAAGGAAGCCTGTGTCCCTAAACCACCATAATGAAGGCTGCCTGCAGGACAGCCACCTTGACCTTTAAATGAAGAAAAAAAAAATCGTGTGTTGCACTAAAGCAACTGGATTTTGGGGGCTTATATAGGGTTGCTATGAGTTGGAACTGACTCAACAGCACCTACCAACAACAACAACATATATTAGCTAGTGTTAACATATAAGGCATTGGTGGTTCAGTGGTAGAATTCTCACCTTCCATATGGGACTACTCTTCTGTCAGTGGTGGTTTGTGTGTTGCTATGATGCTGAATAGGTTTCAGCAGAGCTTCCAGACTAAGATGAATTAGGAAGAAAGGCCTGGCGATCTACTTCCAAAAATCAGCCAGTGAAAACCCTAAGGATCACAACAGTCCTATAATGGGGATAGTGCAGGACTGAGAAGCTTTTGTTTCATTGTGCATGAGTTGGGACCAACTCAAGGGCAGCAAACAACAAGTGTTAACCTCATTTAACTAAAACAGTGGAAGGCAGAAGCTTTAAAGGTAGATATAAATTAGTAAATATATTTACTAGCTTATGGTTCATAACTTTGATTTCTCTTCCTAGTTCTTTGGTGTATACAGTAAAACTCAGATTACATTACTTAAAACAAACAAAAAACAAAAACCCGTGGCCATCGAGTCAAATCTGACTGATAGTGACCCTATAGGACAGAGTAGAATTGCCCCATGGGGTTTCCAAGGAGAAGCTGGTGGATTTGAACTGATGACCTTTTTGTTGGCAGCCGTAGCTCTTAATCACTGTGCCACCAGGGCTCCGATTACATTACCTAGAGCTCCAAATTCTAGTGGAAGCTACATTCTGAGACTAATATGGAGGAGAACCTTTTTTTTGCCCAGAATAACTGTCATTTTTAAGAGCAATAAATTGAGTAGAACATGTTTGTTTCCTTTTCCTTTTTAAATTTTTTTTTTTACTGTGATTTAAGTGAAAGTTTACAGAGCAAATTAGTTTCCCATTCAATAGTTTGTACATAAAGTGTTCCATGACATTCTTTGTATTTCCCTCAGTGTGTCAGGACTCTTCCCATTTCTGCCCTGGGTTCCCTGTTTCCTTTTGTCTGGATTTTCTAACCCCCTCTTGCCTTCTTACCTTTGCTTTTGGGCAAACATTGTCCTTTTAATCTCATATGATTGCTTGTTCTAAGGAACACATTCCTCTTGGGTGTTATTGCTTATTTTATGGGCCTGTCTAATGTTTGGCTAGATGGTATTCTCCAGGAATGGCTTCCTGATCAGTAGAGTGTCTTAGGGCCATAGTTTCAGGGGTTCCTCCAGTCTCTGTCAGACCAGTAAGTTTGGTCTTTTTTGTGAATTTGATTTTTTGTTCTACATTTTTCCTTCAGTCTGCCAGGAACCCTCTGTTGTGATCCCAGTCACAGAGGTTGGTAGTGGTAGCTGGGCACCATCTAGTTCTTCTGGTTTCGAGGTCATGTAGGCTTGGTTCAAGTGGTCCATTAGTCCTTTGGGCTAATTGCTCCCTTGAGTCTTTGGTTTTCTTCACTCCCCTTTTCTCTGGAAGGGAAGAGACCAATGGCTACTCACAAAATGGCTACTCACAGTCTTTTAAGACCACAGATGCTATTCATCAAAGTAGGATACAGAACATTATCTTTATGAACTATGTTGTGCCAATTGATGTAGATGTCCCCTGAGTCTATGGTCCTTCACCTTGAGCCTAGGAAGTTCATCCCACAAGGTGTTTGGTTATGTCTAAGAAGTTTCCATGACTGTGCCCCTTGTGGTACTCTATTGTCTATATTAATATATATGCAGCACCTACAATTATGTCGGTAGAAATATCCACAACCAAACCTATATCTGCAGGTGGGTGTGCTCCCTTACACCCTCCCACATCTCTTAAGCATACCTATCTACCCACGTATCAATTCATAGATTGTTTGTTAACACTTTTGTTGCAGGATTGTCTATATTATAGTAATTACCATAGTTAGCCTTTATTTTTGCGTTCTCCTCAGTGTCTTCCTTTGCCTTGGTCATGTTGTGCTGACTTCCCCCATATTGTGTATTGCCTTTCCCTTCACCAGTATTAACATGCATCTTCTATCTAGTTAGTAATTTTCCCTCCTCCCCCTCCTTCCTGGTAACCATCAAAGAAAACATTTTTTTTTCCTGTGTGTAAACTTTTTTTTAATAATAGTGGTCTCATACAATACTTGCCCTTTTGTGATTGACTTATTTCACTCAGCATGTCCTCCAAATTCATCCATGTTGTGAGACGTTTTGCAGATTCATTGTTATTCTTTATCATTGCATAATATTCCATTGTGTGTATGTAGCACAGTTTGTTTATCCATTCGTCTGTTGATGGGCACTTAGGGTGTTTCCATCTTTTTGCTATTGTGAATAATGTTGCAATGAATATGGATGTACATATGTATATTCTTGTCATGGCTCTCATTTCTTTAGGGTATATACCTAGAAGTGGGATTGCTGGATCATATGGTATTTCTATTCCTAGCTTTTTAAGGAAGTACCATACTGTTTTCCATAGTGTCATGCTTGTTTTCTTGCTAAAGGCACCATTGCCTTTAGGAAACAAATGGAAACCATATGTACTACAACCAAGAACCTAAACATTATAAACACAGCAACTTTGCAAAAGGGATATGCTCAGAAAAACTGATATGCTGCATTTACCTTTAACATCTGTAGTCTTTTGGGTACCAGCCCGGTAGAGTGTAGGATTATAGGCAGAGCTGTTTGGCAATGACATCCTGAAGAAATAAGTAGAAGAAACAAGTTATAAATTTATGGGTTTATAAATTACACCTCACCTATGGACTTACAGGAATTTTCACTCATCTTTTCATTTCATTTCTTAAGCTTTTGCTTATTCTCTTTCCTTCTCTTCACACCCTCCCATAACCCCACACTGTCATTAAATCAGTCCTGGTTGGACATTCTCATTCTGTCTTTACTGATTTGTTTGCTCTCTGATTTGTCATAAAATTTCCCACATTTGTGCATGAAAGCCTCAAACATTAAGTTCATAATTGTTTTAACAGGATTTATGAATGTTTCTCTAGGGAGTTCTTTTCAAAATAAGATAAGTGCTATGAAAGGAACAAGATGCCCTGGTAGTGCAAAGGTTAAGCACTCGGCTGCTAACTGAATGGCTGGCAGTTCAAAGCCACCAGCATCTCCGCGGGAGAAAAGACCTTGCAATCGTCTCCCGTAAAGATTACAGCCTAGGAAACCCTACGGGGCAGATCTACTCTGTCGTATGGGTCACTGTGAGTCAGAATCGACTTGACAGCACAAAACAACAACATGAAAGGAACAGGAAAAATTATAGTAATTATTGTTGGTTTCCCAATAAAACTTTGAATTTAATAGTTGTGGAACAACTTGGGACTCACAGATACTGTGTCTATCTTATGAAACGTCTATATCTCAGTTTCCCTGAATGCAGATAATGGCATTCTTTTTAGGCAAGCAGGGGCTGGTGGGAAGCATAAGTTATTTTGTATGGAATGGACAGAATCATCAATTCCTTGGGTGCAACACAACATGTCCTATGGGCTTTGATGTGGGGAGGAGGGTCGCCAAGCTCCAGACGGTATGTGAGAGGTAGGAGTAGAACAGGAATTGATGTCAGTCCCAAAAGCCCTAAAATGCTCATATACCCATTGCCATTGAGTCAATTCCAAGAACTGCCCCAGAGGGTTTCCAAGGAGTGTCTGGTGGATTTCAACTGCCAACCTTTTGGTTAGCAGCCTAACTCTTAACAAACAAGTCCTAATCATCCTTGATTCTTTCTTTTCCTGCATCCCACCCTGCGTCTTTCTTTTGTTCCCCTACAGAAACAATCAAATCACCTGAGGGTATTTATTTTAAAATGCAGATTTCTAAGTCCAGCCTTCATAGTTATTTTTTAATAGGTTTGGAGCAGGTGGTTCTGAGATAGGTAGTGGACCATTTTCCTGCTTTTATGGGAATCATTTCCTTGCCTCTCTTTATATTATTATCACCGAAGCAGACATATCCAAACACTATAGTTTGACTTGGGCTTTTAAAAATATATATAAATGGAATTATATAGGATGTATTGTGTCTGGCTCAAAACATTCTACCCTGTTTGTGACATTAATGAGCATAACCATAGTTTGTTCATATTCACTGCTATATAGTATTCCATTGTATGAATATACACCATTGTCCATCCGTTCTACTGTAGATGAATAGTATTTAGTCTATATTTGGTTTTAAGTTTTTTGTCTATTATAAAAAATGTTGCTATGAACATTCTCATACATGTCTCTTGGTACACAAGTGAAAATATTTTTCAGTTGGGCATATACTTGGAAGTAGAATTGCTAAGTCAGAGTTTGTACAGCATCAGCTTTAAAAGATAAGGCCAAATTGTTTTTCTATCAATATGAGATCTCATTGTTCCACATTCTCACCAACACTTAGTATTTATGGCCTTTTTAATTTTAACTTCTCTGGGAGGGTGTGGAGAGTTAGCTCATTGCAGTTTTAATTTACATTTCCCGACTACTAATGAGGTTGATGATCATCTTTTGAATATTTATTTGGCTGTTTGGATATCTTGGTTTATTGGGCTTCATATTAAAGTCTTTCCCATTTTTTTAGTGGGTTGTCTTTCTCATATAATATTTAGGAGTTCTTTATATTTATCATAGTTATGAGGCCTTTGTTAGTCACTGAGTTGGAAATAGCTTCTTCCTCTCTGTGGTTTGTCTTTTCATTTTCTTAATTGAACAGAACTACTGTACTTAATTTTAAGGTAGTCCAATCTGTTATCTATTGCTATGGATTGAATCGTATCCCCAAAAAATATGTGTTGTAAATCCTACCCCCTATATTTGTGGACAGGGGCCCTGGTGGCTCAGTGGTTAAAGTGATCAACTGCTAACCAGAAGGTTGGAGATTTGAAACCACCAGAGGCTCTGTAGGAGAAAGACGTGACAGTCTGGTTCTGTAGAGATTTACAGCCTTGGAAATCCTATGGGGTCACTATGAGTCCAAATTGACTTGAAGGCAGTTGTTTGGTATAGCTGTGAATGTAATCCCATTTGGAATAGGGTTTTCTTGATATGTTAATGAGACCATATCAGTGTAGGGTGCGTCTTAAACCAATCATGTTTGAGACATAAAAAGAGCAGATTAGATACAGAAGCAAGGAAGCACAGATGAGGGACGATAGATGCCATGCCACATGAAGATCAGCAAGGAACGAAGGAACAGAAAACAAAAAGAGACATGGATCTTCCCCAGTGCCAACACAGAAAGAAAGCCTTCCCTAAGAGCTGGTGCCCTGAATTCAGACTTCTAGTCATCTAAACTGTGAGAAAACAAATTTCTGTTCATTAAAAACTACCCACCTGTGGTATTTTTGTTATAGCAGCACTAGATAACTAAGACATCTATCTTTTTCTTTGTGGGTAGTGCTTTTTGTGTTCTGTTTAAGAAATCATTGCCAACTTCAAAATCATCAAGATATGCTCTGTGTTAGCATCTAATGGTTTTATTATTTTGCCTTTTACACTTAGGTCATTAATTAGGGATTACTCTGCCTGGAATTGAAAACACTGTTTTGCCAGCTTTGTCATAAATCAAGTGTCCATATATGAATGGCTCTGTTTCTGGGCTCTTTATTCTGTGCCATTGGTTTATTTGTCTATCTTTTTTCTGTAATACCGCCCTTAATTGCTGAGTCTTTGTAATATGTCTTGTTATCTTGTTATAATAAGTCTTTGTTCTTTTTTGGGAGCGTGCTGACTATTTCCTAGCCTTTTGCATTTCCATATAAATACTAGAATAATTTTGTCAAGTTCTACAAAAACACCTATTGGAATTTTGATTGGGATTGAATTGAATATACAAATAAATTTGGGAGAACTGACATTTTTACAATAGTCAGTCTTCCAATCCAAGAACACGGGTTGTTGTTGTTAAGTGCCGTTGAGTCAGTTCCAACTCATAGTGACCCTGTGTATAACAGAATGAAACATTGCTCGGTTCTGTGCCATCTTCACAATTATTGTTATGTTTGAGTCCATTGTTGCAGCTGCTGTGTCAATTCATCTTGTTGAGGGTCTTCTTCTTTTTCACTTTTTACCAAACATGATGTCCTTCTCCAGGGATTGGTCCTTCCTGATAACATGTCCAAAGTAAGTGAGATGAAGCCTCACAGTCCTTGCTTCTAAGGAGCATTCTGGCGGTACTTCTTCCAAGAAAGATATGCTCGTTCTTCTGGTAGTCCATGGAATAGTCAGTATCCTTCACCAACACCATAAGATGGTTTATCTCTCCAATTACTTAGATCTTCTTTATTTTCTTTCACTAAAGTTTTATAGTTTTCTGCATGGAGATCTTGCACATCTTTTGTTATATTTATTCCTAGAGATGACATATTTTAATAATGTTGTAAGTGGCATTTTTTATTTCATTTTTATCTGTTACAGGTAAGCACTAATTTTCTTATATATTTACTACTTCAATTTAAACATTTATGAACATTTATATCATGCTATATTTATATTTTCCTTTATTATAAAAAGTTTCTATTTTTTCACCTGTATTACTTTTCTATTGCTGCTATAACAAACTTGCTGTTGTTGTTGATAGCTGCCATCAAGTTGGGCCCCGACCCATGGCTACCCCATGCACAATGGAGCAAAATGCTGTCCAATCCTGTGCCATCCCCATGACTGATTGTGGATCAAACCATTGTAATCTATAGGGTTTTCATAGGCTTATTTTCAGAAGCAGATTGTTAGGCTTTTCTTCCTAGTCTATCTTAGTCTAAAAGCTCTGCTGAAGGGATTTTCAAGGGAGTGATTATAAAGATTGCCAAGTTGGAAAGGAAGACAAAAGAGGGGCCTGGTGAGAGTTAGTAATAGTGGAGTTAGAATAAGGGAAATAATTAAACAGTTGGCATATGACAGTCAAATGTTTATTGAGCACCTACTATGTACTGAGTGGTATATCTTGATAACATAATCTCCCAAAAGAAGTGGATTTTGCTGAAGGGAAAAGAAATCATCTGGAAGCAGAAATGAGGAGTCTCTAGGTCGTGTGCTATGAGGTGTGAGGAAAAACAGAGGCTTTTGCTGTGAGAACTTCAGAGGAGGCTGTGCTCTCAAGGGACAGCTGGTTCCCTTAGGTGGCTGTGCTTGAGGTACATTGGCTGGGAATTGAACCCTGGTCTCGCACAAGAAAGGTGAGGATTCTACCACTGAAGCACCAATGCCCCCATGTAACAAGCTAACACACCCTATTTATCCTCTAAGGAGTCCTGGTGGTGTAGTGGTTAAGCACTCAGTTGCTAACCGAAAGGTTGGCAGTTTGAATCCACCAGCTGTTCTGCGGGAAAAAGATGTGGCAGTCTGTTGCCTTAAAGATTACAGCCTTGGAAACCCTATAGGGCTGTTCTATTCTGTCTTGTAGGGTTGCTGTGAGTTGCAATCGATGGCAATAGGTTTGGATTTTTTGGTATTTATCCTGTGGCTTCTAGTAAGCCCTAACACAGTGCTACTACGTTTGAGAAGCATGACCCAACATGCTGTTTGTTTTTCACTCAGAATTTGTCTAAGTACCAATTCAGAAAGGAAAATCATTGCTTTTCAAATAGTGTGGGATTATCCTGAAAGACCCAGTCATCTTATCACAGCTTTTCATCTTTCCTGGGTTTGTATTTTTCCTGATCGACAATGAGGCCCCTTGGAGGAGTCCAAGGTTGAGATGG